TATAAATTCCATATTCTCAACAGCTTCTAGAGGCTGTCGGAGTATAAACTGATTTTAATATTTTTATATTTTTTATGATAACAGCAATATTTATATTACTTAATATTCAGATTTATTAACTCGAATAAGTGATAAAACCTTGACTAGCTTTAACAATTAATAGCCTGCATTAAATTTTATACAGTATTATTTTAATACATAATTACTTCTCCAACATTAATTTTTTAACTATTAACCTTAACTAATTTTACGAATAACTAGACCCTTATATATGATTTTGCAATAAGAATATGACTTAAAAAGGCTATAAAAACAATGAGTATAATATTTTTTATCAGTAGTTTTATCAAAATTTATATGTTATAGAGACTTTGAATTTCTGGTATCATCAGATCTAAACCAACATTTGTGATTGACAAATCTGGAGGAGTTTAAATTTACTAGAAAAATAACAAAATAGATCAGTGTTTGGAACTTATAACTTGAGCAAAGTTGCTTTATAGAAAAAAAAACTGGCATTAGATTTGAATAATATAATTACTAATAGATTTTTCTTTCTAGTAGGTTCTAAGATCTAACAAATATAAGGTATAAAAGTAAATATTTTTTTGTCTTTTGTAGGTTGGGTTATAATATTTTTTGTTTATATATAATTTTTGTCTGTTTGTAATTTATTTTAAAGTAATGTTCTATTTAATAGTTTTTGAAAACAAATTTCTACTTACTATATTTTTTTATTTAGAAATATAAAATATCTACCAATGATAATACAACTTCCATGACTAATAACACTACTCCATGACTAACACTACCACCATGACTAACACTACCACTACTATTACTACTGCCTATAACACTACCACCTTTATGACTAATAACCTGATACCATCTATACCAAACCTTGTAGATATTACTCTAACTAGTAAGAAAACTTTTTATTCTACCTTCTTGTACAAGAAGAAATATATTTTTTAGAATTAAGTTTTTTATTTCATTAATATTAGAAAAGTATAAAGAAATATAAAGTGATAGAACAAAGACAAGTAATACTTTAAGTTTGAAAACAAGGTCTAATGATAGATCATTGATAGATTTTAATAAACTCCAAAGTTGTTAAACAAAAAATAAATATAATTTCTTTATTTGTATACTGCCATTTTGGCAAAAAAAATTATTAAATAAAGAAGGGCTCCCATATTCTCTACAAATTTTATTTTTATATGATTGTGTAAATTGGCCAGGATATTATATGAATTCATTGGGTTAAAATAAAACTTTTACTTATTATAGTCTACATAATGTCTCACTCTATGCTTTTACATTTACTATGGGAATTTCACTAAAAATTTTATTACAACAATAGAGGCAATACGTTTTTTTACCACAATAATTACCAGAACCCCATTCACTTTTTATATTTTTCTATATACTTTTTTTATAATCTTTATTGCAAAAAGGACATATTCCTGAATAATCATAACAATCACTATTTTTATTGCTATATTTAAGTAATAAATTGTTAAATTGCTCCAATGTAATATAAATAACAAGATTTTGTTTTTCTTCTGGATTATCAGATAAGATAGAAATTGGAAGATAAAAATTGAGATATACATTTTTGTTTATAGGTAATATACATACCTCTGTTTTATTTTTATTATCTACAATTTGGGTAAGTTCAGAAGTTTCAGAGTTTATTCAGAAATTAAGACCAGTTTCTTTCTTGTATCTCTTATATAACTTGAAACAAATTTTGTTGGTTAAAATACTTGGTAATCTAGTAAATTTATTATTCTATTTCAAATATTCAGAAGTTAATATTTTATTAAACTTTGTCTATATATTCATGATGTTATTTATATAATTGTGAATCTCTTTAAATTAATGATATTTAACAAAAAAAAATAAATATGCCTTAGAGAGACACCTTAAAGACTTAAGTGAATTGTGTTAATATAAGACCAATTTTATGCTATTACTTCAACTCCTTGCTTTTCATATTTAATATAATAGAATCCAATTTCATATAAGTCAGAGACTCTATGCTTTGCATATCTACTTTCTATATCTTCGTTATCATGATCTAATTTGCATAAAGGACACAATATATCAACAGCAATTCAATAATAATCTTAATTTTTATTATTACTATCTTTATATAAATTAGGATATTGTTTTATTATTTTATTACAGAAATAGGTGCGATCATAAATTGGATTGGATGAAGTATTTATCTTAGTCTCCAGTAAAGATTTAACATCCTCATTTATCATATCTTCCAAATTAGATATAATACTTATCTCTGTTTCAGTTACATGATTTTGATTATTTCCCAAGAAAATAGTTTTTGAAATTACTTGATTTATAATATTTTGAATTTGTGTATTAGTTAATTTTGAAATATCATTTGTACTGCAGGTAACATACTTAATCTTGTTAATTCCAACTCCATTTTCTCTAAATAGCTTATGAATTTTTCTGGCTCTAAGAGTTTTAATTTACAAGGCAACTGATGTAATGCCTAGTAAATGTTCTAACATTTCTTTATATATCTGGGTTCTTGTAGTTTTATCATTAACTCTTGCTTTACATTGAATTTCAATAACTTTATTCTTAAAATTATCTGAATAGCAAATCCAGAATAAAATTTCTTGATACCCAGATTGTATTGCTTTTTTAAATAAATAGATTAGGCTTTGTGTTGTAATTTAGAGAATGGTTTTTTGTTACCCACGATATTTTTGAAAGATATTTCTATGAGATCAGGTAAAGCAATAAGTATACAATTCTGTAAATCTTGGATTAAATTGAGTTCTATATTTTGATTTTTATTAAGCTCAGTTTCATTAGAATTATCAAAATCTTCTGCCAACAAAGGAGTATTTGGAATAGTTTTTTGCTAATTGCTTATTTGGGAAGCAATATCTATACTACTTTCAATATTATTATGATTGTTTTTCTGGGAAACAGTTTTTATATTACATAATGAATTATCATAATTATTTTTCTGGAAGATGGTTTTTATATCACATGATGAATTATCTTTATTATATGATATGGAGTTTTGGGCCTGAGGTTTTTTTTCAATTTCTCTCTCTTATTTCATTGCTAACAGTTTCTTTGTATACCTAATTTAGAAATCCGACCTCTTTATTTTCAGAAAATTCAGAATTTGTATAAATAAGTACTTCAGAGTATTGAATATTCAACTCCTGGTATATATCAAAATTAGAAATATTGTTAATATTGTCAGATATATTTTCTATCAGTTTAGGGGTATTATCAGAATTCATTTTGTAAGATGCAGTATCATCATCTAATTTAG